AGTCACAAAACATTTATCCAAAGAATTATAATGGGACCAAACATGGTCCCAAGGACAAAAACAGGCAGCAGATTCCGAGGAATCTGCTGCTTGTCAAGAGCAAAGGTCATCGCAACAATTTTTTTAAATTTTGGGGGCATTTGGTAGTCATTCATGGGAATCAAAGAAAGATAACATCTATGTATTATGAATGTGGTTTGAGGAAGTTGCTTAAGACATTAGTAGGAAAAAAGCCCAGGAAAGATTCATCAGCCCATCCTCACATTCTCCCACTGGCAGACATGGGTAATGTTGCATGTTTCTGAATAAAGTCATTTGCCATCTATCTCACAGTCCTGATTTGACACTATTTGATTTCTTTCTGTTTCCAAACCTTAAAGATTTATTAAGAGGTACCAATTTTCTTAATTGTCAGTGTAAAAAGGGCTCTCATTCCTATGTACATGGATGAAATGGTTAGTAGCATTGCTCACCAAAATGTACTTTTCATTGTTGATTTTTAATTCTCCTTTCCACAAACATTTTGAAGCCCCCTAGCATATCTGCTATGGTATATATCAGTTTATGTCTTTTTTAGTGATTATCTATCCCTGATTTGGTATGTCTCCATCTACTTATATATTTATCTACCTGTACATGCATTTATAAATCCAGCAATGTATCTGCTTATACAACTACCCTCACAAAACATATCTATATGTACTGGTATATAATGCCATGCTAATATTCCAGTTTGTCTATTAAGTAAGGTGAAGTGACTGAGATTGATCACTTTGACCTCATGATGGTTTACAGGTCAAGAAACAGGAGAAGAGGCAGCGCAGTGATGCTTTTGCACAGAGGATAGATAACATGAAAGAGTCAGACTTCAAGCAGGCTTACATGGCCAATGTCCATGGGAATCAGGTTAGTTATTAGTATGTACTTATGATAGTAATATTAGTGTTTTATTTCAAGTCCATATGTTTTACAATGTGGCAAAAGAATAAACTGTTGCTTTATATGCCTTGCATATAATTAACCCAATGCCGATGGGTAA